CACTATTTCCTTAATACATTGTCCTGACCTACATCCCCTCCTGCAGACTCATTCACCACAGCATCCATGGAGAAAGAGGATTGAATAGCAAATCTCTGCACAATCTCTTTCACGTTTCTGCATAGTAGAAGTGAAAATCACTTTAGCTGGTGGCATATTAGGGACAAGTACAAGCCCAGCTTTATAGGATTCACCTACTTTTAAACCTTGTTAAATCACTAACACAACTTACTTTAGGAAATGAAATGTGTATGATTTGAGGAGATGGCATACTCTGTCAGACAATAAAAATCTCTGGAGTGAGGACAGAAACAGCCTTACACAGACGGAGCTGCTGTTGGCATAACGATAATACTTAGCACTACCAGAGCACTTTACATTTTCAAAGAGCTTCAGAAGTGTTATGATCAAGGTGGATGACTGGAATAGTAAATTTTCATTCTGTTATTACTGTGAAGCAGCAGTTCATTTCATTATGGAATATTTTAGGCCATATGGACTCGTGAGAACATCTTGAGGAAATTGGCCAGGATTTTTGACTCGCGATGTTCATCCTAAAATGCAACCAGCAGGGAAGTCTTCAGTTTCTTGAATTTTCTCTGCAGGAAAGTTTTAGGGCTGTCAGCAGTGGCAGACCAGGGGAGCCAGGGAGAGGCTGTTCATACCTGTGGTTTTGGAAGCACGTGGAAGGTGAGAGTTAGGAGGTAACTGAAGCAGTGCAGGCACAGGCATCACACTTGCATGGGGCAGCAGATCTTTGGGCCAATATTTCCAAGAACAATTGCTTGTCTAGAGGTTCCAGAGAGGTGAGCTAGAGGTCTTTGTGCCTCCTCTACAAGCTTTTAGAGGTTCAGGCATGGTCATTGTCCAGATGCTGTGGCCCAGCCAGACTGAGGTCACAATTCTTTAGCAACTCAAAATTAATGTAGAGCCAACTCTTAGCTGATCAAAGCTCTCAGCAGACCCAGTATGGATAATATCTATACTTTATTTTCACTCCTATTAAATTTTGGAGGGTTTCCTCTGTCTGGAGCATATGTGCTGCATAATAGCTGTCAAGGTCTCAGGATTTGCTATTTCAAATCAAATGTCATTCCCAGATCCTTTTAAAACCCTTCTCTCTAAGCTGTCCTTATACAAAGTACAAAAGTACAAGAAATGCAACTAATAATAGAAATACAACTAATTGCAGTCCCTACACTCCAGAAAGCTCCCAACTGGACACACAGAAACCCACCATGATCCCTCCTGGGGTGACAGCAAGGTCACATGTCAGGGGAAAGACAAAGAAGTCCAGATGGGACAACATGAGGGATGACAGCACCTTGACTTGGGTGGAAACAGGGCACTCAGACACTCAGGTTCCCAAGTGGATTTGGGGCACAATGACCATTTGAAAATCTTGGGGGATTCTGTGGTTCAGTGCAGCTACAGGAGGGAGGCACTGCTGTGAGTCCCCCCATCCCCTGGCTCTGCCTGGGCACATGTGAAGGGAGAAGGGTGGCTCCTCACCCATGTGTTTGATAACTTGCAGCAGGACATCCCTGAACTGCTCCCATCGTATCAGACACAAAAATTATATGCCATTAAGGCACAAGGAGAAACTTGTAACCAGTTAAATATCTCAAAATAGCATCTTCAGCATAAGAAAGCATGAACCTCTCACATGAAAGGGGGACTCTGGGCACAGATCTGACAACATTAATCCTCTTTATAGAGGAATAAAGATCAAGAAGGGCCCTGAATTTGAAATAGAACCTAAAAGACCACATTGGGCTGGAGCTACAGGGACCACAGGGGCCATGTGTGGAGCAGAAACAAGATATTTATGGTATGTCTATGGCAAACTCAAAGGAAACAGCCTCTCGCCCACCAGGTCCTTCTTTCAACACACCCAAACACATCCACACCCATCAGAAAGTTGTGGGTAAAGGCCTGCTCTAGAGCATGATGGAGAGGATGCTGAACTGCCCGTTCTAAGGCGAGAGCATAGAAAACTGAACATGGACCCATCTCTCAAGCTCCTGGTGCAGGTAGCACCCACCTACATCCATGCATGGCAGGGATTTGCAGGGTCTGCAGAGAGGAGGAGCTGCCTGCAGGGTTTGGGATGGGAAATCAAGCCCCAGTGACAGTCCCATGAAACCACACAGCAGCTCAAGGGGGTTGGTTTTTTGCTTTTTGTCAAGGGAAGTAAAGAGCTATTTTTATACCCTAGTAACAGCCTTTGGACTGTCAGTAAAACGTGGGAGGTTTCATAGTAAATGTTTTGGCTGACATTTTCTCAGAAACAGCAGGAAATAATCAGTGCATAATTAGAGAGGAAAAGATGTGCAAATGTCTGTAGACCTCTGTAGAGCTCAAAGAGCTTTTTTTTTCCTAACTGACCTTAGTGAAGGTGAAGCTGAGCACGTTTTGTACAATTATAAGATGATTTTACAGAAATTCCTCAAAAGGTACACCAGTGGAAGAGCCAAGTTGCTAATTCTCAATATTTTTTCTCCTCTCTTGTGCCATTGCCTCTAACAGTAACTTCTTCTGACCATTTTGGATAAGAAAGAGCACATTCTGTGGTGCCTTGCTTGAAAAGAGCTCTTTTGGTGGAGTATCCCTTGACTCTAGAGGGAATGGGCTGTCTTTGCCTGAGAAACCTCCATGGTTGCAATTCCTTTGTGTCCTGCAAGGTGGGTTGAGCAATCTGTACTCAGACAGCTTTTACCCTCTCAAAAAACACTACGTGTTGGGTCAGCAGGAAAACCTCCACAGGAAACCAGACAATCTGCTCTAATCATGAAGGTAAATCTATCCACTGAAATGTTCACTGGGCCTTCTCTAGGCTCAAGTGACTCCTAAGGAGACTGCTCCAGCCTATCAGTTAAATAAATACATAGGAGCACTGTTTTCAGAAAGTCTGATTATGTCATCAGCCAAGTGAAAAGGCTCCTTCAGAGCTGCCCTCATCTGTTGAGTAATTACCGAGTTGGGACAGGGGCTGAGAATCTCCTTTCAGCCATAAGGAAAGACTTGATGCACATATGGAGCAGCTAATTTTAAAACTGTGGTATATCCTCCATTTCCCCTCCTCTCCTCTTTCCAGAATACCAAAGGGGTTAGGTCACATCCCAGAGCAATCACTTGCTATGGTTTCTTTCCCCCACTCTGTTTTCCTTTATCAAACACATTTCTTTTCCTTTCTTCTGCTCCCAGGCAGAGATCTTGTATATCAGGCTGTAGCCTGAAGCAAATATTGTCTGTATAGTTTTATATCTATAAATATATATATATATATGATTATTTTCTTCCAAATTAGGCTTTATAATGGAGATGTTCCTGGTCCCTTGTCTACATTCTTTCTAACAGAAGCAGTGTTTTACTGAGTTTAAAGGCAGGAAAATAACCAAGAGAGGATGAACAGAGGGAGATTACAACAAAGGCTGGACACCAAGAAAACAGGCAAGGACAGGGAGAGGAGGAAGGAAAACTGCACTTTGCAGAATGAATAGCTCCTAACAAGTTTAAAGGAAACATTATTGCAATTTTATTACTATATTCTATGAAGCTGCTCTAAAAACGAAGTCCTGAAGAAGCAATTAGGCTGAGAACATGAATTTTGCAGCTGTATTTTCCTGGCCCTCCCCTGCCCTGTCAATGAGCTGACGAGCCTCCTTGTGCCGTTATCATGTGATGCACAGCTCGCTTCGTGTCCTTCAGTCCTCAAAGGACAAAGTACAGATGGGGTCATGGTGGGACAGACCTACAGAAAATCAAGCAGACATTAATATTGCCACTTCTCCCCTATCCAGGGAGTTGAATAAGGGAAGACATTGAGGCTTTTTGGAAAAGATACCTTCCCGCCTCTGCCAAACCAGCTGTTTTAGGAGTTCAGTGTATGCAGGTCCTGCATGATTTCAGCTCAAGCTGTGCTGCCTACCCCTCTAAGAAGTGCCTCCTAGGAAGTGCCTCCATGCAGCCATTCTCCAGCTGACTCTTGTCTGCTCCCTCCAAATCCTGTGGTCTTTTTGCACACATTCCTCTGAAGGGAGAGTAAAATGAGTGAAAAATAGCACTGACAGGCAGTTGTCTCCAAGGGTGCTGGCTTGCACTGTGCCTTTGATAAAAATATTTCCTACCTCAGTTTCCCCACCTGGTGATTAAATAGGAAGAAGAAGCACTCATTGAATTTAGTTAGAAAATGTCTTGCAACTTAGCTCCATGATTTTGTGGTGATTTACCTGAACTGCAAAATCCTCATCTTGGTTTTTGCTCTTGCTGGACCACTTCCCTCATCTCAACTCATCATAGATGTTGACAGCATTGAAGTCTCCACCCAGACAAGCTGCTCCTGCAGGGAAACAGGCAGAGAGCTGATCTTTTCTCAGCACTTATTTTAGGAAGGGATGCCAGGAGTGAATCTTTGTATCCATAGACCAAAAAGGGTATTTTGGCATCCAGTTCTTCTGGAACTTCCTCCTGGGCTTGTTCAGACGAGTCCCACCCTTATGAATGTGAGCTAACCAAGGGTTAAAAATATCTCCACATCAGATGAATCAGACTGGTATTAAAAGGCCATCAACTTTCAAAAATATCATCCCTTGGATAAATAAGGTGCTTTGCAGACTGTTGCATAATTCTCATGTAAGATTAAGTTCCCTTACGAGTTCAAAACATAAAAAGGCTCCAGAAAAGACAGCTGGGTGGGAAAAAGAGTGGAGTGTAACTGTGCAATCGTGAGTTAACACACGAAACGAAAGGATGGAATGTTGCATGTGGCAGGGCTGCCTTCTCAGATGCTCTTCTGGAGTGTTTGAAAGAGTTAAGCCCAATAGTGGAATGTCTTGGGAATGCTGGCAGACAGAGAGTGAGCGGCTTTTTTCTTCCCTCTGGATGGAGTCCCAGGACTGAGCATGCAAAGTGATGATTTTGGATCCGAGTTTGCTTCTTGGGTCTGCAGCGGGGAGCTGGGAAGTGATGCAGTGTTACCAAGAAGTCCTTTGCAAGGGATGTGCAAATGCCTTCCTAAGTCAGGAGAGGTATTTTTACCTCTTCCTTGCTCATCCTTGGGTGCAGCAGGACTCGCTCTGAGAAGATACACAGAGGGAGAAACCACATCCTGAAGGGCATATGCAAAGGGAGAAAGACACATCCCCAAACAGTTTATTTTGGCTGTTGGTTTTTGTTGTCCGTTTTGGTTTGGTGGTTTGGTGGTTTGAGGTTTTTTTCTCTTGCTTTTCGTTCTTCGTCTTTGATGGAAATTTCAGTGACTCTTTAACCTTGCAGTTCATAAGGCACCTTGGGATTAGCTGGTTGCCTCGGAGCAGGGAATCTGGGGTGATTCACACAGGGAGCTGGCATGGCCGCTGTGCTCTTTGGCTTTGAGGATCTGCTCTACAGCTGGGACAGCCTGGTGTGGAGCCTGACGTCCCGGGCTCTGAGGAATTGCCGCTTTGGAAACCTGAGGGTCCTGCAGCTCATGCTGAAGCCATGGTGCATTTCCAGAGACGTTTATCAGGTAGGGTAACACAACATCAGGCCAGACCCCCACACCCCAAGGCTGCAGGGGGGAGACCCCTGGGACTCTCACAGGGTCCTCTCCTGTTCCTGCCAACCACTTTGGGTCCCACACAAGCGGTGGGACAGAGGGGATGCTGTGGGCAGGGGAGGTGTGGAAGGAGAAACATTTTGGTTTGGAGGATGGTGATGGGGTCTCCTATGGTGGAACACAGGTCCAAACTCTCCTTCCCACAGAGCAGGGGGGAATAAGTGAAAGCAAATTAATGTTCAATCTGCTATATCCCCTTTCCTTGAACTTTAGTTTTTCTGCATCTTAAGGCTGTCCCTACAGCTGCACAGGAATAATTTATAATTTACCCAGAGGAAAGGATGCCTAAAGGCACCTAATCTGTGGAAAATGGGCATTTGCAGAGGGTTTTCAACTGTAGTATAACTAATTACCCCTAAGTGACTTGTGCAATGCCTTCTGACTGCTTCATCTTGCAAAGTCCCAGGCATCTGATTGCCTAAAATTTCTGGTTTGTTTGATGTATGGTTTATGTGGTATAGAGAGCTTTGGGGCTTGGATAACTGGCTTCTCTGTAGAGTTACACTAACTACTTACAGCTTGAGGTATAGTGACACAGCCCTAATAAACTCTGTGTGTTTCTGAGACTGATTAAACTGGGTTAAACAAACTGAACAGCACAGAAGGAACTAGTCCTGAATGTCACTTTGAAAAACAACTCATTTCAGTCCATAGGTGAGTCGAGGCTGCAGTGTAAACCCATCAGCTTCTCTGCTTTTTAAATCAGCCTTAGACAACTAAGGCTAGACATTTGTTCTGCTGTGGGGACAAACCCATTACGATTTATCATCTCCACAGATTTGTCCAATGCCGGATGCTGGACTGACGGATTGGTATTTGCATTTGGAAAATGGATTTTCTGCTACTCCCATTTACTTGGTATTTTGCTTTTCCTGGGCTTTGGAAGTCTCCATGTGTGAAGCCAAGTCATACAGAAAGCAACAAATTAAAAGCCTGTAGAAATTGTGTGTGTTGGTTAGAGGGAGACCAGGGCAGGGCTCTTAGTAATTTCAGCAAACTTTAAACCAGCTTCAAATCATGCTCTGGTTTCAGCAGACTTCAGGAATAGATTTTATGGTCTTTGGAGCTCAGCAAGCATGGGCAGCATTTTTATTTTAAGTATTTGTTTGTTCCAGAAGATACCCACAGCCAGTAACACAAGCCCATTACCCAGGGCTTGGCTTTGAAACCCCCCTGAGAGGTACCACTGGGGTGGCTCCAAGGGAACCACGCTGCCCTCCCTGGGCTCTGCTGACTCTGGACTGAGCTGAACCCAGAGTTCAGTGTGTGCAGAGGCTGCCCCTGGTGTGGGGCTGCCCCACACTCTCTCTCCACCTTGTCTTAGGAACCTGAACCTGAAGCCAATCAGCTCACGTGGGCCTGGGAAAGGGGAGGGGAAGCAAAACGACTCAATGCTGAACCTGATTTTTACCTTCCACCTATGTAAAATCATCCTCAAAAACTAATGAGTGGGTTTCCAGATGTGTCCAGATTCTGATTACTGATAATGAATCCCAGCCTATGCACCATGCATCAGGGCATGCCACTGCCTGTGAAGACTCCCAGAACTGCCATTCTCCCAGCAGATTCATGTTGCTGTAAGCATTGGCCAATCCACAAGTGCACTTTTTCCATTGAAAAATGCACTTGCCTTGAGACATTCCCTATGGCATTTTATCACAATCCTGGTATATTATTCCCCTTTGCCAGAGTCACCAAAGAAATGAGATCAGCAAAGGTGCTTCTCTTCCCACCCAAACAAGCATTAATGCAGCCTGAAAAACACTCACAGGTCAGGACGGACTCGAATAGTTGTTTGTTTCTCAGACAGAACCTCTGAACATCTGCAAAAGCTCAGTAAAACCACGTCACTTTATTTGTCAATGCCCGTGAGCTTGCAATTCTTTGGAGAGGATCTGAAATGCTGGGTCATGTACCAGGAGAATTGCTGCTGGGTGGAGGTTTGTTGAAAAAGGCATCTCATAGCTCATCCCTGTGCAGTTCCAGCAGCAGCATTGTTATTAGCAGCCAGCATGAGCTGATAGCTAACTCTACACTTATGTATATTAATCCTAAAAGCATTTTCCCCAGTAGCCAGCATCGTCCAATTTAAATGCTGGCAGGGTATTTTAGCAGAATATTGCTTGGACAGAAAGCCTGACAGTTTAATCACTTCCCAGAGACAGAAACTTCTTCCACTGCTGACTATTTAGATGAGCAAATAATCTCTTGATTGTGCTAGTTTTTGTTGTTACTATATATTAATCCCTGTTGCGACTGCACCTTGGGAGCAAAGCAGACCAGTGTAGGACTTCTGCTGGTACCAGAACCAGAAAAACCCTAAAAAGAAACATTAAAGAGAAACATTAGTCAACTTTGTAAAATTAAGCCATGCTTTTTCATACTCTGAAAAGTATGTTTTGTGTTTTTCTTTGAGTTAATCACATCTCTGGTTCTGGTGCCTTTTGCTGAACCAGGGCTGGGGGCAGCAGAGCAGTGCAGCACACAGCCAGGCTCTGCCTGAGCAGCACCCACACTGCTGGGCACCCAACCCTGGGAGAACTCAGCTCCTCCACCAGCCAGTATCATGGTTGTTCTGACTTAATTTTTTTGTATCCTTGCCCTAGTCTTTTGTCTCCACCACACAAACATCCCAAAGCTTGCCTATTGCCTTCTACTGTCCCATCTACAAAATATATAAAAACTAAGACAACATTGTACAGAGGGTACAGATTTACAACCCATACAAGGGCCAATGGGTTCTTGGAAACAAAACAAGCTCCAGGCATCAACATAATCAGTGTAATTCCCTTATTTATGAAGACAGACTTTACTTTCTTTGCTCTCAGAAAATCAGCACCAATGCTTTAGATGAAATAGAAGTTTTGGGGTGATGCTGGCTGCAGTGTTAGAGTGGGATCTGAAACATTTCAGTGTTCAAATCCAGTCTGACACAGCAACTGGAAGTCTGGACTTGCTCAAGCTGCACTCTAAACAGCAGTTGCTATAAAATAGGTTAAAACAATCAAAAAATTGTTCATTCTTGGTCTCCAGACTGTATTTGTCTCAGGGATGCTGAGTGACTCCATTTTTCACTGTCTGTAAGCAATGCTTTGGTACTCAGACCGTCTGAGCAGTACAGAGAGCTAGAGGCTTTTGGTGCCCTGAAGAATACCATCATCTGTCTCAGACTGCATTTCTTTCCTGGCAAATAAACCCTCCCCTAAGTCTGCTGTGATTCCCAGGGACACATTTGTCTGCCCAGTCTGAAACAAACCTCTTGCCTTGATCTGTTTTCAGTGGGGCTAATATTCACCAGTTGTTATATTTTCATTGTAATGAATGCTTGCTATATTTTAATTGTGTTTTGTGATCCACTGTGCGGTTGTCTGGCTGCATGATCGGAATTCATTTGAAAAGGGAGATGAACAAATAATAAACTTCCAGTCAGGGCTCTCAGACAGTCAGTTGTGCAAGATGTCACCGAGCTGTCGGATGTATTTTTACCAATGCCCAGATGTCTGACTGCTCTGACCTACTAAACAAATGGCCCTGTGAACTAACACAGTGCCTGCTTTTGCAGAAGTACTCACATTTCAAGAAGTACTGGGGGAGGGCTGGCTTATTATTATGGGATAAGCAGTCAGTTCTGCATTTTCACATCCTGATGATAATTCACTATTTATTTAATCTCCAAATCCATCAACAAATGTTTTAGTTTCCCAGCTATGCCTGTGCAATGTCAAAGAACATTAGGCAGTGCAGGACCTACATCTACAGTAAAATGTGTTTATGTGTCTCGATTGTTTAAAATCCCACCAACTGCTCCTACCAAGTCAGAGGCAGACCACTGGATGCAGAGCCATCTCTCAAGGATACCACTCAACAGACATTTAATTCCTCACTCTCTGTAGAAAATGTGTACTTTTTACACACTGCTTCTTATCCACCAAGTGTTTGGAAAGACAGTTAAGTAATTTTACTGCTATAGAAACCAAGGCAGAATCAGATTAAATTCCTTCAGGTTATGGGCACAAGTGCAGAATTGCCTGCAGTACCTCATTGGTCCCCAAATGTCCAGTTACAGAATTAAGTAAGAAGGTTGGGATATAGAATTTTGGGGCTGGGTGCTAATCTAGAATGAGGAAAAGGAAAGAGCTTTTGTTGTGCTGGCAGATAAGGAAATTCATGGAATATTCTATACTTTAGCAAAAAGTTTAATTTTGGCTATTAAGAAGAAATTGTTGTATATGAGGAATTGATTCTTCACTAGGGCAGTGAGGCTCTGGAACAGATTGCCCAGAGAAGTTGTGGATCCCCCTTTTCTGGAAGTCCAGGCTGGATGGGACTCAGAGCAACCTGGGCTAGTGGGAGGTGTCCCTGCCCAAGGGATTGGAACTAGAGGATCTTTGAGCTTCCTTCCAACCCAACCCATTCTGTGATTTTACTGTCCAGATCCTACAATTTCCCCTGAGGAGAATGTACCCCAGGTGCATTCACACTGCTGGCCATGGGGTGCTAAGGGTTTTTCCCCCAGCTGCCATGGGCACTGGGGAGGTGACCTGGAGGGTTTGGGGGTTTCTTCCCCATTCACCTGGGGTTTTGCTGGCACTCTGCTGGGTAGTGCATTAAAAAAAGGACTTTTTCCACTTCATGGTGGGATCTGAGACACCCCCACAACCCTGTGCGCCCTGTAAGGAAACACAGTTTCCTCCTCAGAAAGGAACAGTTTGGAAATTCCATTCTTGTTTCAGCATCATTCTTCACCTGGTTGCCTTGAAGACATCTTATATTTAAGCACAGTTAAAGATTCAGGAGAAAAAGCAGTATTTTGCACGCCTGCCCTGCTGCTGTAAAAGGCTGTGCAAAGCAATTTTGGGCAAGAGGGAGGAAGGAAAGGGCTGAAATGTTAAACACATCATTTCAGATTG